CACACACACACACACACACACAGACACACACACACACACACACACACACACACACACACACTACATTCCCACAGAAAACAGCAGTGGAGATGAGCTGAACGAAAACCAATCATTGTATGACCTCTGCTTTTCCTGTTATTGTCAAAACTCAGTCATTCCTGATGTTGAAGAAGGGTTGCACAATTTGGGAAAAAATATAATTGTGATTTTTCATATAAATTGAGCATTCAAAATATGGAACTATTGCAATGGGCGTATCGTTTCCGACACGCGCTGTACGCGGTAGACCAATCACAACAGACTGGGCCTTCTGTCCAATCAGAGCAGAGCAGGTTCACGGAAAGGTGGGGTTTAGAGAGACTGAATCTCAGAACTGCTTCAAACGAATCGTTTTCAAAATGAGGTGATATTAAATGCATATTCTGAGAAAACGAAAGCGTTTTTTGACCTTGCATGCATGTAAACCTATTGTAGGAGACTCCCAAAACCATATTAGGAAGCTTAAAAATGGCATAATAGGGGCACTTTAAAGCTTCTCTTTGGCTGTCAACAGCCAGTTTACAAATTTTGTAAAGATGGTCTGCACATGTTGTGTTGTCAAACGCACAATAAAGCATGTCAAACTCAGAACAGATGCAGAGAATCGAGCTACTGAAAACACCGGATCATGAGCTGCTCACGTGTAAATGAACACAGTGCCGCACTTCACTCAGAAACAGATTTTTATTTGCTGCGATAAGCTATCTCACAATTTCAGTTTTATTTCAATTAATCATGCAGCCTTATGTCGAGCCACAAAAACCACACTGTGAAGATTGATACTGCGATGGGTGTTTTAGAGGCTAATCACAGAGACGGCACACATGAGAAGAACAGCTGAATAATGCCTTTGCGAGAGAGATTAAACACACAAACACACAGGCAGGGAGTGACGCTCTTATCTGTGGCCGGAGGAACTTACTGTGACCTGAACACACTATCTTGGCATAGTTAGAACATTATAGATTCCAAATATTCATTAATGGAATTATATATACTGTATTTAAAAAAAAATCCTGATTCTGTTAGAAATATCTAATTATTTATTATTAAAAACCCACTATTCAAATAATTAAATTCAGCAGGTAATGTGTCATATATTGGGGGCCATGGTTTAGTTTAACAGTTTTTGTAGTTAACTTTTTTTGTTAGTAAAACAAGTTTATTTTATTTATTTAATGATACATTTTTGGAAAAAAAAAAAAAAAAGTGTGTGTAGTTTCTTAAACACCATTCTTAAAAACCCGAACTGATTTTACTTTTTGTCAGCCAACTGAGAAAAAACAACAACTACTGTTACTCGAAATGAGGAAACTAAATAAAATAAAACTAAATACAAAAACTTATTTTACTTCAGCCAGCTGCCAAGAAAACATTTCTCTTTTTTATTTTAACTTGAAGTACTAAAATAACTGAAACTGAAAATAAAAATGAATAAAAACTATATACACAAATGTAAAAAATAATAATAAAAATGACAAAAACACAAATATATAAATATATTTGCATATATAATGTCATTAATGCAGTATATATATATTTATGATAAAGTAATGCAATAGACTTAAACTTACACTACATTATATATGTTTTAATCACTCAGAGAAAGATGATTTGAACAGTAAAGCCAGCGCCTGAGCTCAGGGCTGCAGTTTAACGCTGATGTGCTTCAGTCTGGTTGAGGTACGACACTCTCGTGTGTCTTTTTTCTCAGCAGAGATGTTGAAATAAAGCTGTACATCTTCAATCCTCACGCGCCCTTCATCCCGACAGCACAGAGAAACGGCCACAGCTGGAACGCAGCGTCCCAATCAAGCCGAAGGAGTGTAAAATGAAGACGACAGCCTCAGCAGAGCAGCGCCGCGGGCATCAGGAACCACTAACCACCTTCCTCCTGTCCTCGTCCTACAGACACTGCTGTAGATTAATGACCCGACCAGCGGCTTCATCAGTGAGCAGCATTCTCACACACACACACACACACACACACACATGCACACGCACACACAGACAGACAGACAGACAGACACACACACACAGACACAGACACAGACACACACACACACAGATACACACGCACACACAGACAGACAGACAGACAGACACACACACACACACACACACAGATACACACACACACATACACACAGACGCCTCGCTGAGACCCGCCGCCTCCCGCAGACACCTGCGCTGACCGGACGCTCACTTTATTACTTCTGACGGACCATCATTACTGTCTGCACAGATAATTGGATATTTAAACACAATACAGGAACAAGAGACATCGACTCCAAACACACACACACAGATACACACACACACATACACACAGACGCCTCGCTGAGACCCGCCGCCTCCCGCAGACACCTGCGCTGACCGGACGCTCACTTTATTACTTCTGACGGACCATCATTACTGTCTGCACAGATAATTGGATATTTAAACACAATACAGGAACAAGAGACATCGACTCCAAAAATATTAGACAGTGTGATGACAGAAATTAGTCAACTGAAGACTGGAGTAATGATGCTGAAAATTCAGCTTTGATCACAGCAATAAATTACATTTTAAGAATATATTCACATAGAAAACTGATATTTCACGATATTACAGCACTGTGTTAAAAAAAAACAGTTCCTGCCTTCAATTATGTTGAATAAATCTGGCTGTACAAGTCATTTCAGCAATTTATATTAAAAAAAAAATGAAGTTGAATCCCATATGACTTAAAATGGGTTTAATTATGTTGATTAAGTTAAGGTAATGGAAAAACATATATTGACATCACTTAATTTTTTTACAGTGTATTTTTACTGTATTTTGATCAAATACATGGGGCCTTGGAGAGCTGAATTATATATATATATATATATATAGGGTTGGTAAGAATTTTTTAATGTTTTTGAAAACAATTATATATATATATTAAATATATTCTATATATTGTATTGTTCATGTTATGAATCTAATCATTTAGATTGTTTACTTTGAATCTTTTTATAAAAGAAACAAATGTGATCTTTCATACATCAAATAAAAAAGTATTTAAAGTATTAGTAAATAAAGTATTTAAATAATATTTTTGAAATAAACTTTATTTATTGCATTGATTTATTTCATTTCCAAATACATTGTGACATAACAGACTTTTACTGACACATAAAATGACTTTTTATCAATATTTTTGCCCCTTTTTTCAAGCAAAACATCAGACAAAAGGACCATTGTTGGGTTTGAAAAGACAAAACAAACAAAAATAATAATACAAATGGTGGTGAAAACAAATGCATGAAGAAGAAAAGTGAAAGAGCCACACAGATACAGACTCTTGATCTGATGAAACAACATTCAGATATTTATAAGGAAAAAACAATAAGAAAGAGTACGAACAGGAAGAGACAGAAAGAAAGAGAGGAACAGGCCAGAAAAGACACTACAAAGACACTTGATTCATGTGGCATTTCTCTTCCGGTACAGTCTGTGTCTCACAGCAGTCCACTGCAAATATCCAGAACGAGGCGTTCACGTTCATATTTAGCTTCGGATGTCAGTGGGTTCAGCGTGAAAGCCTTACAAATCTGAAGGTCAGAGGACGTCTACTGTCTGCTCAGAGATATGAAGGCGATGCCTCGACCATCACGGCCAGGAGAACAGTTCTGGAGGAAACAATGGCTGTCAGCTTCATCATCTGAATCAATCACACAGCTGCAGAAATGTCAGACGCTGTCATGATCTGAGGATCGTCCTGACACGCGTTTCCTTCATTATCACGCAGCGGAGCGAGATCTCGAACGCTCGGGCTGATCTGCTCCGGCTTCTGAAGCGTCTATCACACTGAACCTGGATATGAAAATCTTCAAACAGCTGGATATATCAGGATATGAAAGTGATCTCTTGTATCAGATTGTGTGGTTTTACCACAGTACAGTGGCACCGTCTGACATGATGCAAACTGAACCCACTTAACAACAAAATATAGTACAAAAAACAACCAAATAACTAGATTTTTTACATTTTCTGAAGTTCTTGCCGGTAAAAATGTGGTGCCTCAATAGCTATGTTTCCATCCAAAGATGCGAATTTAACTTGTATGCAAAACTGGAATATCGCATAAAACATTTGCCAATAAAGCACCGTTTCCATCCAACGAGTCAAAGAGAACAAAAGTCACTTCTTGATAAACTGGCACTAAATATCTCTAAGAAAACGAGGAGAAGCCACTGAATATAATAATTTTCATATGTAATAAATTACTTGCGCTTCAGAGACAGCAGACGTAACACGATAAATGCGGTCATTGCTTTTAGAGGTGGATGCCTGCTGTTTGGAAACGCAGTCGTGTAAGACCGTAATTATACAGAAATACTTTGATGACAGACTTTCCTCAGGCATTTCAGAACGACCAGAACAACATATAGATGCTGTGAACGAGATCGGTCCGCTGGTTAGTCAAGTTATCCCGTCTCATAGCGCAAAGTCACATGACTTTTTCAATGCGCATCTTGGCATTTCCATCCAGCAGGTTTTTTATGCGATAATCCAAAATGCACATAAAAATAGGTGGATGGAAACATAGCTAATGTTAGCGTGTTTTGGGTGATGGTTGGGACATTGATGAGGTGTTCTGAGCTTTCACTAGTTTCCTTCTGTCTGCTGTGAAAAGAGTCTCAAGTCTCTGTGATGTTCTGCTCTCTGTGGCTCAGGTCTATGGAAGCCCATTTCTGCCACATATGAAAAAGAAATCCTGCTTTGGTAAATTATGACATCTAAGGTCAAATTATGAGATATTAAGTCATAATGAGATAAATCATAATTATGAAATGATGTCATAATTAAAATTATGAAATAAATGTTTGAAATTAAGAGATAAAAAGTCAAAATGATGAGATAACTATGAGATACTATGAGATTGATTATGAGATGCCAAGTCATAATGAGATAAATGTCAAAATGAGATAGTAAGTCATAATTATGAAAAAAAAAGTTTAAATTATGAGATGAAAACTCAATTATGACATAAATTTTTAAATCACGAAATAAAAACAATTTTGAGATAAAAAGTAGAAATTATGAAACATTTTTTTTATAGAATCTTGATAACAGTGAGATACTAAGTCATAATTATGATAAACATTTCAAATTGACATAAATCAATGAGATTTAAAAACACAATTAAGATAAAGTCATTAATTACGAGATAAAAAGTTGAAATGATGAGATAAAAAGCTATAATTATGACAAAAATTCTAATTTTGACAATTATATCTCATAATTGTCCAAATTTGACTTTTTGTCATAATTATGGCTTTAATTTAATTATGGCTAAGTCATAATGAGATAAATGTCAAAATGATGAGCCATAATTATGAGATAAAAAGTTAACATTATGAGATAAAAAAATAAATTCCGAGATAAAAAGTTGAAATAATGCAATAAAAATATTTGTGAGATAAAAAGTTGATAATTATGATAAAGTCAAAATTATGAGATAAAACGTTTTTTTTTTTGCAATTGAGATGTGTCATCATTTCAACTTTTTATTCCATAATAGTTTATATCATGATTTCGACTTTCTATGTCAATTTAAACTCTTTCAACTTTCCTCTCAAATAAAGGCAAAACAGGCCAAAAAATTAAGAAAAAGATTTTTTAACACTAAACTAACTACAAAGAGACTATATATCATCCCATAGCAGAGTATGACGGTGAAATCGAGTGGGTCTGTGTTTATATCAGTCTAGTGTTTGGGTGTGAATGCTCAGTCTTCAGTGCTGGAGAGCTCCGCTCAGTCTTTAGTTGTAGACGATTCTTTTGAATGTGAATGTCTTTCATTAGCACTGTGTTTCACTTCAGTAGAAGTGTGGCAGTTTGCCCGCTCTAGTTGGCATACAGCCACTGCGCCAGCTTCACACACATACACACACTCACTCACACACACACTCA